AACTGGCCAATTAAAAAAAAATAAAAAACCTGAACCTTTTTATACTTCCTCTCTATACCTACTTCCTCTCTACACCTTGTTCCAATACTCTTAGTGCAAGTCCCTTGTGCTCTGTTGTTTAATATTGGAAAGAAAGGCAACTGGAAATCTAGAATGTGCTCAACTTGGACGGGAGGATGACAGTTGAGATATTCATTCACCAGGGCTAGGCAGAGGGATGTACATTTGTCTGTGTGCGAGGTGTTTCTCCAGACAGTGTTCTCTGCTGTTGACTGGATTGGGTTTTCTGACACCCCCAGCAGCAACAACAGCAGCAGCAGCAGTTGGCAGCTCAACAGCTTGTCTTCCAGCAGCAGCTTCTCCAAATGCAACAAATCCAGCAGCAGCAGCATCTGCTCAGCCTTCAGCGACAGGGACTCATCTCCATTCCACCTGGCCAGGCGGCACTTCCTGTCCAGTCTCTGCCTCAAGGTACACACAAAATGTTCTGCATGCATTATTTCTGTTCTTGTGCTTTCTACCACTTCATGGCACGTCTACCTAATACCCTGGGAAATTTTGTTTTTGTGTGACCTTAAAGTTTATTATTACAACATGATTGTTAACATGGTGGCATGATCCATTTTCTTGAGGCTCAACTATTTGATTAGACACCGCTTTCAAATGTGTCGTCAAACTGCTGTCAAGTGTTTTGTTAGATATTAAATGTGTATTTATCAGTCTTATAGGCAGGAAATCATTTATAAGGGCAACACAATTCAAGCGCTATTGAATAGACACAGAGGATCTTCAAGGAACTGGATTAAGGGGAAGGCTAACAGAACTCCATTTAATACAAGTGAGCTGCTGTGTGTTTTGGTGGACAAAATATAAGAAACAGAAATACTTGTTTGTTTGTTTTTTTTTTACAGTATGATTCCCATTTGTGAAAGAAAGGCTTCATGTATTTGTATAGACCATATTCCAAGTTATACTTTGTGGTGCTAGGTCCTATGTTGTGTGACCATATCGATCTTGTTTTTGCTAAAATAACATTGTCTGTGCTTATTTTGTGAATTCTAGTTTAAAGACGGTTTCAACTGTATTCTTTTTTTTTTTTTTTCTGAAAAGCTTTTTAGCTTTCCTCTGACAGTACATTTATACAAGTATATGGGTATCATTTAACTCCTCAGGGAAATGGAAAGAGTTATAAGTAACAAAATGACTCTGTTGCGAAAATCAAATTCGGTAAAAGTCATACGTCACTAAACTTGAGAAAAGTATTCTAATTTGCATTGAGATTTTATTGGAGCAAACTTCAATCCAAATAAACTTTTGTTTTCGTTAAGTGCTTTTGAGCCGGTTCCAATTCATAGCAGCCCTGTATAGGGTTTCAGAGGAGCAGCTGGTGGATTTGAACTGACGACTTTGTGGTTTGCAGTCCAGTTCTGCTCCTACATCGCCACACCAGGAGTCCAAATGATCTTTAATTCTAGTTAATTATATTTGCCACAGAGGAGCTCACCTTGTAATGTAATGTTTGCTGTACATTTTCTTGACTCGACACACAGAAAAATATATATAAAGTTTTGAATGAGTAATAAAGGACAGTCTTTACAATGCATAATAATTATTGTTCTGTAGCACATGAAATTAAAAATAACTGTAGTTAATGTTTTTCTCTTTATTTATCGCATTACTGTTTCTGTGGCTTTTTTTTCCAAGCACTTCCTCTTTCACTTGGCTTCAGACCCTCTAATTCACCTGATTGGACTACACTATTAGGCAATCAGGAAAGATACACTTTACACAGTGCAAGGAAAACAAGGCAGTAAACCCACTTCTCTAAGTTACTCCAAAGAGAATGGGAATCAACCACAGTGTTGCCACAGCAATGAGTGTGTATTCCCCTCTTATTGTTCTTTTGAAAAATAACTGCAATTTGTGAACAAGTAAAGAAACAAGGTAAAAAATGGAAAGCAATTTAATAAGTTAATTCAATTTAAATATGAATTTCCTTAGTGGAAACATCATTAAAACAGAAGCATAAAACCAAAGTTTATGCCATTCTTTTTTGGTTTCCCCAAGTAAACGTCTAAATAAAATCTGTATTAGACTCTAATTAAGAGAACTTCCTTCATACAAATGCATGAATCGTTTTTGGTCAAGTCATTCATGCAATTTTTTTTTTTTTTTCAAAGTTTAAAATAGGTGTTCATAGGAACAAAATTTAACTATTTGAAATACATGATCCATTTTCTTTGAACACATTCTTCCAAAATAAACACAAAATATCTCACTGAACAACTAAGTTTATTATAATATAAACTTTTTAATAGTTTTCATATTAATATTTTGTTTTACTTTTTAGCTTTCTTTTGATAGAATTATTCCTGCCCCCCATTCCTCTGTTTCTGCTCTCCAAAAGATACATGAGAGATAAAATGTACAGGATATAGAAGATTATTTGTTGTTGTTGTTAAGTGCTGTGGACTCAATCCCGACCCGTAGTGACCCTGTGTAGGGTTTCCGAGGAGCAGCTGGTTGAGCTTGAACCGCAAATCTAAAAATGTATCTATATTTATAAAGAATGAAGAAAAATTCTGTTTAAAGTAAAAAAGATAAAATAACTAAAACATATTTCCATTAATAAAGATAGAAAATCCATATGAGTAAATGTTGTTGTTGTTGTTGTTAAGTGCCGTTGAGTCGGTTCCGACCCATAGTATCAAAATAATACTTGGTCCACTGACCAAAGTTCTTGTTGGTGCCATATAAATCACATAAATAGGTGTCGTTATGATAGTTTTCACTGTTTTGGTGAATCAACGTGAAAAATGCTATTGTGGAAACCCATCAGTGAAACAGACGGAATGTGTCTGTTTAGCTGTATAGTAAGGGAACGTAACTTCATAGTGTTTCGCTTCTGAGGTTGTTGTTAGGTGTCATCGTGCCAGTTTTAGACTCAGAGTGATTCCAGCTGACAGAGTAGAATGAACAGAATTCCAGAATAAGAGCATGTTCTGTTTCTGACATCAGAAAGTGTCCGTGAGCAATACATTCAGAGTCTGTCATATATATGATAAAACATTTATTTTCTTATCAAACTTTTAAATATTTTGAATATCTGATTTATATTAAAATATAATCATCTCTTTATTACCAAATTGAAAGGCCAACCAGGGAATGCTAGAAAGCCAGCCTTGTTGTGAACTGAAACCTAGAGAACTAGATTAGCTGAGAAGAAGAGACTTGTTGGTAAAGAAAGAAAATTACATCTTTCCAAAGAAAACACAGTAATCTCCAGAAATATGTTAAGTCAGACTATGCTGAAGCTAGTGTTTGACCTTAGTATTCGCACCAAGTAAACTCCTACCTAACCTTTGACTTCTTTCTCTGCTTATGAACATCCAGATAGACAAATGCCTACATCAGCAACACTTCTGGCATCCTTGATCTGTTACTTAGTGATCATTGGGCTTGCATTGATTAATACTGCAAGCAGCCGACCACTAATTAAGCATCAGCAATATATATAATACTTGCTATGTAGGTTGATGTTACACCTGAATAAACCAAAACCGTATCCACGGCAATCAAGTCAATCTGGCTCATAGCGACCCTGTGGGACAAAGTAGAACTGCACCATAGGGTTTCCAAAGTTATCTTAGAGAAGCAGCCTGACACATCACAGAGCGCTTGTGTCTCATGGGTTTGAACCACCCAGTGACTTTTCAGTTAGCAGTTGAGTACTTAGCAGCTGCGCTACTAGGGCTGTTTTGTATCTGAATATTGTCTTTCAAATACACACAAGTCTTCAGTTATAACCTGATGAGGAAATCTCCTTCGGAGCTTTACCTGCTGAAATTCCATTAGTGGTTGAATTTTAAATGTGTATTTTGATTGCTGAATTAAGTCTACAAAGTTGCCTGCGAATGCTATTAATTGTAGTTACAAAAACTAACTTCTAAATCAATAAATGAACAATTATTAAGAGGATGTTAGGTTACTTTTTGAGAAAATGTTAGTAAGATGGAATGATACAAACGAAATAATATCCTTCCAGTTGAGCGACTGTTTGGTATTCTGTTGTTGTTAAGTGTTGTCAGGTAGGTTCCAACTCATAGCGACCTTGTATAGGTTTTCCGAGGAGTAGCTAGTGAATTTGAACTGCCAACCTTGTGATTCAAATTGACCTTGCAGTCCAGTACGTTATCCCAGAGTGCCATAGTAGATAACATAATATTAATTCAACTTTTGAATCTTTTTTTAAAAAGTCCTGTTTGGCAGTCTGTAGTCTTGAGAGGAAGATTCAAAAGCAAGAATGTTCACTTTACCATGTTCAAACTTCATGAGGAAAGCAGGGAATTCTTTTTTTTTTTTTTCTTGTAATAGAAATAAAAAAAATTTAAATGCAGTTTGTAAAAATTTTCGTAATAAAATTGTCATAGGAAATTTTTAATATCACATGAATTCCTATATTCCAGAAGTTCCTTTTTTTGGTGTCTTTGGCATTTGGTTTCAACTTCAACTAACCACTTGTTTTCACTTCCTTAATTGGACATTTTGACAAAATATGTATTTGGTTCAACTCTCATTAGATACCTCTTTTAAAGATGAGCTACCTACAAGTTATATTAGGCCTCAAGGAAAATATAAGGAGCCCTGGTGGCCCAACAGTAAAGCTCTTGGCTGCTAAACAAAGGGCTGGTGGTTAGGACCCATCCAGTTGCTCCACAGGAGATAGATCATAGCTGTGTTCCCATGCAGATTGTTGTTGTTGTTATTAGGTGCCATGGAGTCGGTTCAGATTAGTAGCCACGCTATACACAACAGAACAAATTGCTGCCTGGTCCTGCAGCACTTCACAGCTGTTACCATTGAGCCTGTTGCTGTCGCCACTGTGCCAGTCCTCCTTAGGAACCTTCGTCTTTTTCGCTGACCCTCCACTTTATGAAGCATGGTGTCCTTGTCCAGTGACTGATCCCTCTTGTTGGACGTATGAGAGACAAAATCTCAAAATCTTGGCTGCTAAGGAGCGTTCAGGCTGTACTTCTTCCAACACAGATTCGTTTGTTCTTCTGGCAGTCCACGGTGCTTTTAATATTCTTCTCCAACACTATAACTCAAATGCATCAAGTTTTCTACTGTGCTCCTTATTCTTGTCCAACTTTCACATGTATGTGGACACACATGTCCAACTGACATCTTTACTTTTGAACACTTTTCAAGGAATCTCGTATAGCAGATTTGCCTAATGTGATACATTGTATGATTTCTTGACTGCTGATTGCATATGTGTTGATAGTGGATTGAAGCAAGATGAAGTCACTGAAAACTTCTGCCTTTTCTCAAATTATGATGTTTTTACTAGTCCAGCTGTGAAGACTTTTGTTTTCTTTGCACTGAGGTACAACTCGTACCGAAGGCTGTGCTCTTTGATCCTGGAAATTGTTACAGGATAGTCCTACTCTGTCACATGGTGTTGTTGT